CCAGAGAGATGAGTTGGCCCACGCCCTCCTTTTACAGATGCAGGAACTGAGGCTGGAGGAAGAAATGAGCCTGCCCGAGGTGACACGGGAAGAGCCAGAGCTAGAACACAGGTCTCCAGGTTTCTGCCCCGAAATGAAAAGCCCAGAGTCACCATCTACCCACCAAGCAGAAAACTCTGGAGCCTGCAGTTCCACTTTGAAATAATGACCTCATTTAAGGAGAAAAAAGAATGAAAACCAGCCAGAACCCCAGAACGTTAGGGCTGAAGGGCCCCTGGCCAACCAGTCCACTGTTTCCCCAATTATTCTGTATCCTTCAGAATAATTCCAGATCTATGGACAAGAACTCTGTGGCGAATACCCTGGAATCTACATTGTTCCAAAGCCCTCTTAGGGACCCTGACCCAGCTGTCTGTGGATGGGAAGCAGTGATCTCACCCACTCCCTGTGTTTTATCACTTTAGGGACAAAAGGTGAACAAGAATACCCCGAGGGTAAGAACCTTGTCCAAAGTCACACTGAAAAGGTGTTTTTTTTTCTCAGATGTTTACCTTAAACATCCTTAGCCTCAACCAAAGCACCAATCAAGAGAAAGATGCTATTTGCAACCAAGAACTAAAGATGCAAGCCAGGTAGGGGCTGGGGAAAGATCTGGCTTCCTCCTTTCACTGAGGGATCAAACAAGAAGTGGGTTCGTAAAGAGCTCTGGGATATTTTTCCCTGTTCCCTTGACCTCGGAGGTCAGGATGACCTGTCTAGGTCCCGCAGCTGGAATTCACAAGGGCACATGAGGAAGGCTCAGCCAGGCAGCTGAGTGCATGGGACAGCAAGGCCCAACCCCAAATTCCACAGCACGCTTCACATCAACAGTACAGCAGAGACAGTTCTGATCCCAGATGGCTAAAGAAAGGCAGACCTTTGCCAGGGAGAGGGGATAGAGCAGACAGGCCCTTGGAAGGCATGAGGAGGAGGTTGGGGGACCCCATCAGTCAGCCTGGTCTTAAACGTGATCTCAGAGCCCATCCCCCTCAATGGTGGGGACACCAAAAGTTGAGGGAGAACAGGGATGATGAGTTTAGAGGTTGATTTGAGACATGTCTTTAATTCAGGGACTTGGGTGGGCAATGAGGGACCCAATGGGGAGAGAGCCCCAAATGGACCCAAGCCTATAAAAAGCTTCAGGAGATGGAGTCCTGGGGCCGCCATTCTTTGAGGCCAGCTGAGATCAAAATCGATCTCTGGTTATGATAAATGAGAGGAATAAAAGGGCTATACACACGGTGAGAGGCAGATTGGGGAGTCCACGTACCCCGATGATGGCATTCAGCTCCGTCATGGTGACCTGCTTGGCACGTTCCACAGCCTGCGCCACCTGCTGCTGGTGCTGGAGGGAACGGAAGGGGTTAACTGCGGCGGCTGGGGCCAGGCGCCCACCCAGCCGCACAGAGGCATAGGCAGAGGAGGTCCTCGACACTGGCAGGGGACACGGGTGGGTCACGGACAGGGCATTTTCACTTTCTTCTTTAGATCTTTTTCAATGAGCATGTATTACTTTTGTAATCAAAACTTCGTATGAATTGTTTTAAATTAAAATATAAATGAACCAAAAGATGGGTATTGGTCAATGGCCCCCCTCCAACAGACATACAAAAAAACTTTTTTCCATGCGTTAGACTACAAGCTGGACACCGGACGGCATTATTGAATGATTATTAATGTTCTAAATGCAGTAACGGTATTGGAGTCACGCAGAAGCCTGTACACATTGTTAGAAGACGCAGTGGGAGCAGTGAGTGGTGAGCTGTCAGGATGTCTGCAGTTTACACTCAAAGGGTTCAGAAGAAATACATATGTATCTAAATATAACCAAATCTGTATCTATCTAAATAGAGAGAAAACAAAAACGTATGTCTACACAGAAAGATAAAGAAAAGCAGCATAATGAACTCAAAAGTAAGCAATGAGTTGACTTTGGGTGATGAAGATGTGTCCATGTTGTGTTCAAAAGCTGCAACAAATGCACCACTCTGGTGGGGGCAGCTAAGGGAAATCTCTGTACTTTCCACTCAGTTCTGCTATGAACCTAAACTGCTGTAAAAAAGAGTCTTTTTTAAAAAAACATTTTTCGGTGTATTCATTCCCTTCAGCCTTGAGGTAGCACCAGCTTTGTATGCGGCTGTCTTCCCTACCAGGCTGCAAACTCTGAGGACATGGCTATATCCTGTTCTTACAAGAAGTCAATCATTTTTGACCCAGGGCTCCAGGAGTGAGCTGAGAAGGGCCCAGGAGGGGCATGGAGGGCAGGGCCTGCCCCAGCCGAAGTGAGCTCTGCCAGACGGAAATGGGCCTCGCAGGCAGCCCATCTGTCCACCCTGTACCAAAGAGCGTCCTTGGAGACGTTTCCACTACCTCAGCACCTTCCTCGGGTGGGGGCCCCTTGCAAAGTGGCTTAGAAGGTGATGTGAGCGATAAGGTGTGCCTTTGGCGAGTGCACTGTTCTGAAGGGTGGGGTCCCCTGTGGGTACTGGTTCCCCTCACAGGGTCTGGGTCTTGACACTGACTGGCCAGGTGTCCTTGCTCCTAGATGGCTCTAGGTGTGGAATTTCAAGCACAGGGAAGCAGAGGCTGAACTAGATACAGCATGGGGGCACAGAGGCACCTGCTGCCCATTGCTACCCCAGTGGCAGGCCAAACCCCCGCCCCCGCCCTGGTCTCAGATAGTGGCAGAGAATTAGTCCCACCAGAAAAAGGAGCACGTTGTTCCTCTGATGTGGCTCCCAGCCCTGAACTGGCTGGAGAAGGCTCTGTAAACCCCAGGTTGTCAACTTCAACTTCAGGGGCTAGAGCTCTGGTGGAACCTCATCAGCCAGTGGCTGCTTTGGAACGACAAGGACACGACAAAAAGTCTTACCTCTTGTGACAGGAAAGGCATGATCTGTGCTAAAATTGTGTTCAGTCTCTTCGCAATCTCTGTCTGCAAAAGAAAAGAGACCTCATGAAGTTCAGGCAAATAAATTGTCGCCAAAATGTCAGACAAGTGGAAGTGCAAACTGCCCCAAACCACAGACCCTCCCACCGGCTCCTCTTTTCCACCCTCAGGAGCCTCTTGGCTAAATCACAGCTTGAAGAAATCTTCCAACTCCCCAACCACTCTGCCTACATTCTGGGGATCTCCAATTTTCTGTTAGAGGTGGTCCAGCTGTTTGGGTCAGAATATAGTTTGTCTCCTTTGGATGAAAGCTCTAATGAAAAACAGAGTAATACAAAACAAGAAAACAACTCCTCTTTTCCACCCTCAGGAGCCTCTTGGCTAAATCACAGCTTGAAGAAATCTTCCAACTCCCCAACCACTCTGCCTACATTCTGGGGATCTCCAATTTTCTGTTAGAGGTGGTCCAGCTGTTTGGGTCAGAATATAGTTTGTCTCCTTTGGATGAAAGCTCTAATGAAAAACAGAGTAATACAAAACAAGAAAACAAGAATGACCACTCCCCAACCCCCCCCCCCCCACACAAC